ATAGGCTTTACGGTTGTCGGCTGGTTCCGGCAACGTGGACATGCCAGACAGGGTTCAAACCTGCAGGGTTTATAGTAGGGTTTATCTAAACCCTAAACCCTTTTTGCATCCGGGCTTGGGAAGTCGGCCGAACCCTAAACCCTAAACCCCTAAACCCTAGAAATTTTATTGGGTTTACTGCACATAAAGGTGAGCCCAGCCTTTCTGGAGAACTTGAGTCCAAATCCACCGAGAAGACCGGCTGAGGTCCCACCTTGGCCATCGAGGATCTATTCTCGTCGTTCCATATTCAAACGGCATCATACATACATATTTTTAGTATGCACGCATGTATATCTACATATATATATATATATATATATACACATGTATATTGCTGTGTGTGTGTTTGTGTTTGCTTTTATACATGTAGACATGTATGTTTGCATTCCGTTTTCATATGTATATGTACATGAGCCTGTGTATACATATATATATATATATAAATATGTGTGTGTATATATATATATATGTATGTATGTGTGTGTGTGTATGTATGTATGTCTGGATGTACGTATGTATGCATGCATGTATGTGAGTGTATGTAGGTACATGCCTGTGTAGGTGCATATATGTGTATATGCAGGTATACGTGTGCTCATTTGCTCATGTATAAGTGCATATTTGGAGCATGTGGATGTGAATGTATCTGTATGTCTGTTTGTACATGTACAGGCATATGCTTACATAATCATACGTATACGAATGTATGGCAGAATATTCGTATGTAGGTATAGGCGTATACCGGCATGGATGTAGGTACTGTAAGTACTTGTCAAAACGGTCCCCTCAGTACAACAGCACCATATTTATGAAGCATTGCGACACCCTTTTTCCAATTTTAGAAACTCCATATCCAAGCATGCAACGGAGCAACCAATTGTGGAAAACTCATACAATCGTCATACCAACCCTTTCCTCTAAGCCTGTAAACTTTCAGCACATGACAAAGCCGTACGGTTTTCAAACACCGCGCACTTGAAAACCTCATGCGGGCCTTAACAGGAAGAAAATAACGCACATAAATGACCCCTTTTCTCCACCTTAAATATCCCCCTGCAACTCCTACAGTGGAGCCTCAAACGCACGAAAGAGTTTAATGATCAACCGTTCTAAAATCCGCAATGGAGCCCTTAAGATTCTATTTAAACCCCAAGCAACCCTTTAAACTCTTTACAACCCGGAAAGGGAGCCCCTCGTTCTTGCAACGGAGCCCGTAATATTCAGAAGCAACATACCAACAACCCTCTATGAACCATGAAATACCTACACTCGTAGCACCAGCCATCCGCTTTCAGAACTCCCACCCCCCTAGTCCTCCCTGGGCAACAGTTAGCGAGGAACCGGTGATCTCCCGGCCAAGTGCTAAGCCTCAGATCACATGTCGCGGTTTTGTGTGAAGAACAGGCTTTATGGGTGTATAACTGCTTGAACAAGGTGTTACTTTAGGATTGGAAATAATGGGATTCTGGTGTCGCACTCAGGGTTTGTAGGGGATTCCTTCTGTTAAGGTTGTCCTTGCGTAAGGAATCCTACTACGACTGGGGGCCTATTTATCGGGTCCCCGGTTTTGCGAAACTCCTATCCACAGGTCAACACTCAAGGAAAATAGTAAGCGAACTGACGCTCTCATGCACCTAAGCTGGGAAATGGCTTGTGAATTTAGGTAGGATTTCCAGGATCTTGCTCTGGTAGAAGCTCAAGGACATGATGAAGCACTATGACGATGCATGAATTGTCAGAGAAGACTCTGCCATATGGGGCTTTCGGGAGCTTTCAGGACATGTCTTGTCAGTCTGGCATGATGACGTTCTACTCCGAAGCACTTGGAAAGAATCACAGCGTCTGCTCTATTTTTTCCCTATGCGCAAGCTCAGCTACTGCTGCAGCTGCCTTTGTCCGCTCATGCCAAGTGCCAGGCTTTCGGAGCCTTCGCCTGCCTTTCCCCATGCGGAGGTTTTGCAAGGCTTTGGTTAGGTTACGAGATGAACTTTCTGCGCAAATTGAAGGAAGGCAAACGCTCCCCACAAGGCTGCACAGGATCAATGACTCACAGTCGAAAATGGTCGGAACTGCAGGTAGGTTTAGAATCGCTCTTATCAGTGTTTCACGTCTAAAACAATAAGCTTTGGGCTTCGGGCCTCACCATGGCTGATGTTCGTGCCTACTTCGACTCGTGCTGCCTACGGCGGTGGTGGCAGTGGAAGCGATGTGGTCGTTACTGATAGCAGTAACAGATAGTAACAGGTCTAACAATAGTCGCAGTCACTGTGGCAGCCGATGGTACCGATACATGGGACTGCAATAGCTGCTGCTGGTAACCTCTACTATACTCCTAAAGTACTCCTCATGATGTGAATGACTTCACACGCGATTACTACTGGATGCGCTCACCCCGCCATGGTACCCTCTGGAGTATCAGAACGACACGTGCGACAACGTAACAACGCACATGGAAGTGCTCATGTCTTTCCTGAAGATACTACCAAGAGCAGAAAGGGTTACACTTCATGCAATACTGGGCTGGGCACAACGGTGAAAGTAGCACAGTGGAGCTGTTTGGCGCCTCACTGTTCAAAGAACGTCGAACCTTGCAAGCAGCACGGCAAAAGGGCTGGTGTCCCTCTTGCATGAATAGTGCCTCTTTTACAAATGAGCCGCTTCATCGATTCTTTTGGGCTTGCTTCAGCGTAAGGGCGACACCTTTAAGCTTCTAAGCAAGGGCAGGCGCTTGTTACACATGTTGAAGACAATCTCAGGCTGCGCGCTCTGTGTATAGATGTCATCGGATTACAGCTTCATCATCTTCCAATCAGATGACAAACCTGCATATCATTCATCAACCACCCAGGGCCGAGAAACACAAAACCGGTCAGAGGCGCAAAACTGCGTCTATTGCCGGCTAGACTCATAAATCACTTCGCTAGCGACCATCCATTAGCCTCCAACTCTGAATAAATGCCCCCGCCTTAGTCCCGAACTTCAGCGACAACGACAGTTTGACGAGCGCCACCACCGCCACCACCACAAACACCACCACCAGCACCACCAGCAGCAACAGCAATAGCACACCGGCAGACCGGCACGCCAAAACCACCAGCACCACCACCAGCAACAACCACGACAACCAACACAACCGCCACTACAACAACCACAGCGACGACGACGACGACCACACAGCAACCCCCACCAACAGCAACAGCAAGAGGAGCAATAACACTTCAACAGTGACAGTAACAACAGTATCAACAAATTCCTTCAAGCCAAAGCGACGATCCGTGCAGCCGAGACGCTATCTTTGCCCGGGTGCCAGTCTGGGCCAAGCAACGAACAACCTGTGTTCAAGTTCCACACAGACTAAACCTAACACGCACTACAATCACCACAAAACACATAGAGCCTTGCGACTATGATTCTGTCGGGGCAGTCGTAGTTAGCCAAGAAGACGGGATGCCTGTCGTCAAGCACTACCCAAGAAATAGCAGGCCGAGTCAAGAAGCAACAGGCAGGAGCATGGCCATCCCCTACTCCTACCCCCACTCCTGCTCCTGACTACTAACACTACTACTACGACTACTACTACTACTGCTGCTGCTACTACTACTACTACTACTACTACTGCTACTACTACTACTACTACTACTACTGCCACCGCGGCTGCAGCTGCTGCGGCTCCAACACACAACTAAATCTACGACGACGAGTACGACTACGATTAATTAGTAGCCTTCGAGCAATGATGCGCTAGTCGCAGCAATGATAGGACGGAGGGCGGCAGCAAGCAGTTTGTTGTATCGGTCATTTATGCCCACGAGAGTACTACAAACAGTCTCGCTCAGAACAGTCATGGACGTAGCAGGTTGGATGATACGGCGCTGACGGGGGATTGAACTGAAGCATGGTGTTTACTGGGCTTCCGGCGCACTGCACCTCCACCTTCAAAACATACCTGCAGGTGCTGGGCTCGCTTGAAACTTCATGCAAAGGGGTGGACGTGATCTGATACCTCCGCGTGCCGAACACTGGAGAGGGTGCATCAAAGCGGCTGGTGCGAGTTAATGCGGGCATGTTTTACGACAAGTCGTCGAGACGAGCATGACAGTCACCATCGAGCATGGTTGCTTGCCATGACATGCCAAGTGCCGGCAGCTTCCCAAATAATCCAAACGAACCCGTGGCTTGTTCTATGGTGCAGGATTAAAACTATCTTCTCTGACTGCCAGCAACTTCAAGACGACTTTGCATAGGACAAGTCCAGCTACCCGGATGGCGGAGAGTTCCGGAGCTATAAGGCTTAACCTACCAGAACCTACTTTTTTGTAGGGTCCCTATAAATCCTATATAAGGGTTTATAATAAGAACCTACAAAAAAAGTGGGTTATGGTAGGTTAAGGTAAGGCTTAAAGACCTCATCGACTTCCAGGCTTTCGAGGAGGAGGCCGACGTAATATAGGGGCCTTAATAATTAGAATAATGTTTTGGGGCCCCTTATACTATAATTGAAGCTAAAAAAAAGTATTAGAATAGGGTTTGGGGTCCCATGAATTATACAAAAACTACACGCCCCTACATTATGTCGGAGCTGGTGGCTTCTTTGGCCAGGAGCTTGCCCTGATGGAACAACTGTATGCATATGTGGGCCGGATGCCAAAGCTGAAACATCGGGATATGTGCTGGATGTGCTTTAGACTGAGGGCACTTTGCTGGTCTGTAGTGCGCAAAACCTGGATCTGTCTAGCTGCCTGACCAAAACCTTTGTGCCGACCTACAGTAACGTATATCTTTCTGCCCAGACTATTCCTCCAATGTTTGTTTGTACATACCACGCTGCATTTCGTCTTCTTTGTTGTGGCAAGGCACTCTGCTTGAGACTGCTTGGCAGCTCTGGCGAGTGACTAGTGACTAAAGGCCACGAGCAGTCTTGAAGTGCAGCAACACCTCATTCTCAGGGCGTCTGCGACCTAGTTAACAAATGGATCTGGCAGAAGGCGGCGGTTCAGCGCCCCTGCAGCCCTTGCCCGGTCATTCCGGTGCCGAACGATGAAAACGATCGGAGGAATGAGCGCGATGAAAGTGAAAGCGAAGATCATCAAGACCTGCACCGTCAAGGAAATGCTTGCTTTTTGGGACCCGACGTTCGAACGGGCTACTCATGACAGGAGGAGGAGGAGGAGTGTAGCGAGCAGGCGATGATGCTGTACGGGACCCGGTGTCTACGTTCAGCAAGCGGGGTTCTTTCAGAACGGGTGACGCTTCAGAATCTTGGCCAGTCGTGGTCGTGCTTTAGAAAAGTCTACTCAAACTAGAGTCCATTCCAGAAGAACTTAGTGGCAGGATGCTTGGAAAGCAGAAATACCACTGTTCAGCATTGCCTCTGATTCGATCAGTTCCCTCCGCGCATGTGTCCGGCTACGGTTTCCCGTCAGCAGCTCGAACCCAAATCCTCAACCCATGTACCCAAAGCCCTCATGTTGACACTTGTTCCCGTAAACGCGCCTCGGTCATGGCGACTTCGATAAGAACCCACAAGCTCGGCTGATTGAAACCTGCCCATGAACCAGTAGGGTCATGCAGAGGCCATACCCAATAGATTCGACGTTGCAGTGAACTATATAGCAGCATATATAAGCACCATAAAGGAATTATATTGCTAAATGCTCAGGCCCATATATTCGGTTTAGGGCTCAACCGACAATGTCAGCACACGCTGTCTGCGGGAATCACAAAACACCATGGATCGACCTGCAGGTACATCGAGACAGGACAGAAGACGACTCCAGTGCTTCTACAGTTTCCTACACGGGCCACTACAATTTCATACGGATGAAATACCAAACCTCTTTGTCTCGGCAGTTCCTAGCTCTCCCGGAAATGAACGAGGTAAATACGGAGATGTGCCTAACAAGCATATACCAAGTGGATTTTCATGAACTGCAAAAAAAATGAGCCAGCAAGCTCAGGTTCAATGTAGAAGCCTACATAATAAGTACTGACAATTTTCCATAAGACTCCTATTATGGCTCCCTTTGTCATAGGTTTAGCACTCGTGCTCGACAACGTCAGAATACAAACCCTGTTCTACAGTATCAGAGTGTTTCTGTCTGGACCCTTTTACACCTGGACTGGTCCCTAAACCCTTTTTGAAACCGGACTTGAAGACTGCCAGCATTGCCTCTTCTGCCGTTGTTCAGTCGAGGCCCCAAAACGTAGCACACAAGCACTCCACTCCCTAGGATAGGCACTCCACGTGACGACCACCGAATGTTGAAGCCATAGGGACCCTTTTACACCTGGACTACGCATATGCCAGGAACCAAGGCGCCGACTGTGCTGTGGGCTCGTGCCACAGGGCTACCCCAGATTGCAAAAACTGATCAGCTGGTCATCCCAATTTTCAGGATGCAACGACCATGTGGCTACAACTCCAAGATCCTTAAAGATTCGGGATGTAATTGCAGGGATATCAGGCAACAGCACATCACCCCAACGAGCACTAACGAGGACATCGAGGTTAAAGAAATTCCGCGAGGCCTTAAGAAGATGAAGAGCGTCAACAATATCGGGACCCTAAACCCTAAACCCTTTTCCGGATATGTCTTCAGCATGTGCCCTGGCCTGGCGGAACCGACTGCTCGGACTTCCAGGCCCCTGCTGCATTGGATGGTAGTTTTTGCAAGGGCAGTCTTAGGCGCATGAAAGTCCCCTAACCCCCAGGTACCTACTATATAGGGCCCTAGGGGCTCTGGTGCCCTATATAGTAGGTACCTGGGAGGTTAGGGGTCTATAGGGTGTATCTGGTGGCTTTGTAATGCGTTTCATCGCGTTTGAAGGTTTGGTGTGCGAGATGTCCATAGTTTTCGGTACACGAACTGCAAGTGCGTTTAGGGATACACACGCACACATCTACATGTGTCTATATATATATATATACACACACATATAGATAAGCATTTGTAATTACATATATGGTGGTTTTCGAAAATAGGGCACCCTAATATAGTACCCTAAATAGTAGGATCCTTATTATAAGGACCCCAAAATAAGGTACCCCCCAATTTTCGGAAACCCCCCTTTGTAGATGTATATATATATATATATATATATTTCTTCTGTATGTACATACCCAAGATCCTGTCTGCTGGCCGCCTCCCAGATCGGCCACCGAGACGCGACGTGCCTCAGGGAACCGAGGACCGCCCACAAGGCTGTAGGGCCTCAGCTCTGTTTGGGGTTTGGGTTTAGGGTTTAGGGTTTAGGGCTTAGGGTTTAGGGTTTAGGGTGTGACAATGTCGGGCTTAGTGCACATCTGCCAGCAACTATCATCACCAAAACCGTTGGCATCCGTCTTTAACCTGGACACGTTCACCGCGATGCAAAAAATGATATATAGAACCCGAGATACCCTAACACCACCCTAAACCCCCAGAGCAGACAGCCTAAACCTCAATGGCAGCCCTGGAGCGTCACACCAGGAAGCAGCACGATCATCCTCAGGTCACTTAGAGGCAGCGATAGGCGGTGTGGTTGTTACACCTGAAGCTACAAAAATGCTGATTCGATTCTCTCCCACTCTCGGGGCTCTGTAGCGCTCTCTCTCTCTCTCTCTGTCTCCGTCTTTGCCTCTATTCATGCTAGGCAGCATGTATGTGAGAGTGCCCTACCAGCATTACACAGGCTGTTGTTAAAGCCCCAAGCCCTTGTTGCACATGGTATAGCGCAAATACCTGGAATGTGCCTTGTCAGGCCCAACATGCAAGACCAGTATGAAATCTGCATTAAACCTTTGTGTATATACATATACTATGCTTGTATACGCAGGTTATACACACATACACCCGTACATACTTAGTTCCTTGTATGCGCAGATGCCTACCTGCATGCATACTGCATGCCTGGCAAATGGCCTACAACACAAGGACATACAAACACACAGACACACAACTACATGCTTCACAAGACAAGATGCTATAAGACAAGGCACGACAAAGCAATGGAATACACCATTTTGCGATAATGCAACACATTACCAATACAGGACAAAGCAGATGTACTTAATATAGCATGTTAAACTGCATAGCAGCATACACGTATGTATATCCGGCTTCGGGTTCCCTGGTTCCAGATCATTCTTCTGCACCGCTCCACTAAGATCTACTTGTTGTTCTTGTAGTACATGATTTCGGCCGGTACGTGTGAGTATGCGTGTCGACTCTGATCTTCGCGCCACCAAAACCATGTACTTGAAGGAGCGTGGAAGTCGGACTAGATTTGAGGTGATAAGTGCCAAAGCTGGAGCATGCTTCTCATGACCTGGCTTCTAAACTGCTTACAGTGTCCGGCAAGCCTCTAAATATTCGTAGTCTTGCTTGCAGTCCCACCCAGGTATGCTGCAAACATCCGGCCCGAGAAGCACAAGACTGCTCCGGACAAGTCTCGCTGCTTCCATCATGAACCCGATTCCGGCCGACATCACGATCGCCGTCAGAACTATCCTTAAAGCAAGGCCATTGGGTCGGGGGAGGTGTCGGGGCTCCAACGCGTTTCAACTTCAGAAGTCTAAGGCTTACCTCAAATTGCCGGGTTTCAAAGGTGTCCATCCGAAAGAACACAGCAGAGGCAGCACGCGCGGGGCCCCAAAGTAACCTGACTGAGTCGGAGTCTCAGAACAAGGGTCCCTACTGATGAAAATGAACCCTGCAGTTCAATGAGTGCAATCGTGGTCATAGAGTACGGCACCCCTGAAGAATGATGAACATCCCTCACTCTGATCTTGCATATTCACAGCACTCTACTCAAGCTTCGGTTGCCCATTGTTTTGGCCTTGCCTGTCAATTTTTTATTACGGCCACGGAGCACGCAGAGATTCCGGCTGCAAGTGTCAGGACTGACAGGGCCTCGGTGCGGCTCAGGATCTAAGATGTTCTTGAGCCGTCAGTGGTTGTCGCAAGCGCTGCTTTCGAATACTGTCGGATGATATCTGATAAAGATTGGTGTTCCCTCAATGTGCAGTTCGAACATGGCGCAACTACCGTCTAGAGATGGTCGGGAGGATACAGCTAGTAGAAAAAGACCCTCAAGATGCAGCCACCAGCTAGTCTTCGCACCGACATGCGAGGGGCACGGCACCATCAGTGTCCCTTTCTTCCCGGCACTTCGTGCTCTCAACCCCGAACCCGAGGATCCAAAACCCAGGGCTCGTGACGCCCGGGCACTGCCATCGCCATGCCTCGCAAGAGCGGGTAGTCGAAAGCTGTCTCCTGCTCGCCAACTCCAGGTCTTGTCGGATCCTGACATGAGCTCCGAAGATAGGCAAACAAGAAAAATAAAAATGGCGTCACTTCAAAAACAAGTTGTGAAACTACATGTGTGTATGCCCATGACACTTTACAGCATTTGTCATGTAGGTAGGTACACATACAAAAACGTCCTATTGAATGTGAAAGTATCCAATTCGGAGGCGTATAAGTAAAAATCAACAAGGAATGCACATGCAACTGAGTACATTTATGTATATAGACAGATAGATACATGTACAGACGTAGATGTACATCTGTATGTGGGTTACTTGCGAGTGTACCGGTATCGGTATCTGTTTATGTATGACCAGATATTAATATAGATGTATGCACATGCATTTATTTCGTCAGGTGTGTATGAACGTCTGTATATCGGTCTGTCTGGCTGTCTGTCTGTATGTATGCAAACATGGAGGTATGTGTGCATGCATGGATGTATGTGTATGTGTATGTGTGATATGTACGTGCGCATGTATGCGTGCGATGTAAGTATATATGTATATGTATATGTATGCATCTATGTATGTAGGCATGGATGCATCTACGTATGTATGCTCGCATGCACGTGTATGCGTCTGTGTATGGGTGTGTAACTGTATGTTTATACATGCATATGTAGGTACGTATGCCTGCATGTATGTAGGCATGGACGACTATACAACATGTACCTGCGTACATTCACACATCCGTAAAGCTAGGCACAAATGCATGCACGTGCATCCATATAAACATATATCTACGTGCATAAGTGATGCATGCATGCGGCTCTCCGGCATGGCATCCAAAGACCATACCAGTGCACCTTGAACCGCAAGCATCTCACACTATCAGCTTCAAGTTTCGAAGTAGCAGATGTAGGATTCGCTCAGTGTGGCGGCGCAAACGCGTTCACTCTTCCTCAGGATCGATATACAGTCAAGGTGTATATGTAGGATGTACCTAGGGTCAGGTTATCCAGAAGTGCTGAACCCTAGAAACCCTAAGCCTGTAAATCCTCAACCTGCAACATGATGGCTACGTGCGCCTCGAGGCTTGGGTGAGGCTTTCTGGAGGAGTGTGTACTCATACAGTTTCGGACACAGGGACCGAAGTAGCCGCACAGGGTCACCATAGTGACAGTGACTAGTATGTTGAGGATTGTACGTGTATCGATGACATGAGCAAGACCGTATTCGGATCAAGATGAGAACCTCGTGCCGGAGATATGCCGAAATGCCACATCCAGAACCCTGAACCCGAAAACGAACCCTCAGACGCACGAAGGCCTGCATGACTCCTGTGCATCTGTTCTCAAGGCTCAGGATTTCAATGTACTAACCTGTTGAGAAGCGCACTTGAATGAAAGCATCCACCATCCAGACCGGTACCTGGCGGATCTGGACTGGCAGGGGTCGTAGCATCTGCAATCGACATTTATCCACGATACCCTGAATGCTAGATGCTGGAGCCCAAGTCGCTTGTAGCCATTGCAAGGTCCGAATGAACAGGTCCAGATGTCGGCATCACATCCTTCCTGATCCCAGGAGAACCATCCAAGAGAGCCTGAATCCATCCATGCGTGGGCTTGTTTTAGGATTCTCATTCGGTACAGTAAGGCTCCGCCTTGAGTTGGGTTCAAGATCCCCTAGTTGACACCCGAAATCAAAGAACGCCGAAGCCTCGCTTGCTTGCACAAGGGTTCAGCCGAAAGGGCACGGCCAGATGATGGCCACTATACCCTAAACCCTATAAACCCTAAACCTATTATTTGGGTTAAGGCCTTCGGGTCTAGTGTTTCCGACGGACTGGCCGCTCGCTGCCTCTAGAGAAACTCTGGCTTCACGGTTTAGGGTTTAGGGTGGTCCACCTCTGTCACTAGGCCAAAGAACTCTTCCACGAGGCAGGCTTGGGCTGCTGGTGCTGCTGCTTCGAACCGAGGCGTTCCAGCATCTGTCTGCATCGAAAGGACCTCACCCCAAACCAGCCGTGAATCGCCCCCTGCTGCTCCCTACCCTTCGCCACAGAAACTGCAGCTAGACATCAAAACCCTAAAGACCTCAAGCTCTGAACCCAAAGCCCTTACACAGACCTTACGGCTCGAAATCTCCGAATCCCTACACTTTGAAGCCGCAATGCCTAACTGCCTTAACCATGTACAACCCATACAACCTGGACCATGAATCTGAAAGACTGCAACCAACAAATCTTAAACCCTACAAATCCTCTCTCTTTCTCTCACAGGCATTCCCCTAATTAAACCCTAAACCCTACAAACCCTAACAACCTTAAAACCCAGATCCGGCCAGGCCACCAAAGCAGAAGACTCCACTGTTCGCAGTGCGCAGAAGGGTCACCTCTCTCATCTCCTCATGCATCACAGAACGCGTCGAGCACACCGGCATAAGGCGTCGTCGAAGCAAGCCATGACGGCAGATATTTATATGTGGTATATAGTTTGAAGAGTAGAGATTCACGTGTACACATATGTATATACACGTGTGTTCATCCACCATCCATGCATTCATCCGTCCATCCATCCGTCAATCCATGCATGCATGTATGCAAGCATACATACATACAGACGTACATGCAGGCATGCATGCATGCATGCATGCATACAAACATACATACATACATACATACATGCATGCATGCATACATACATGCAGAATACATACGTACATGTCAATACATATATCTTGCGCACATATGGTCGACAGACAGACAGATAGATCCAAGCAGATGGATAGACAGATAGGTAAGTCAGTAAACAGATAGATAAACAGATCGACAGATGGATCGACCAATACATACATAGACGGACCGATAAAAATATAGACAGACCTATAGATGCGAGAGAGAGGGAGGATGCGAGAGGGAGAGAGAGAGCGAGAGACATATATAGAGACAGGGAGAGAGAGAGAGAGAGAGAGAGAGAGAGAGAGAGAGAGAAAGAGAGAGAGAGAGAGAGCACTGATGGAAGTGCAAATTTGTCTAGTCCTCTCCCGTCCTCCGGATGCATGTGGCCGCACTCCCTTGCAGTGGCCCACTGCGGGCACTCGTAGGCATAGACCGGGATATCGCAGAGTAGCTGCCTCTGTACTTCAAGGGTCGTGCGATATGGTACGGCGGCTATGAATGAGTTTTGAAGCGCCTGGGTAAAATGGACATCTCAGGATCCGGCTCTCCTTCCCACGCAACAATGCGCTTGTAGGGTTTAGGGCTTAGGGTTTAGGGTTTAGGGTTTAGGGTTTAGGGTGGACGAGCACCCTATCAGTCTTGCCGAGATTCTGCTAGGAAAACTTTCGGCCTGGCACAGCAACCGGCAGAGCTCGGCTCAGACACGGGCAGATTGCCTTTAGCAGCCTTGCTGAACTAATCCGTTAACCCGATAACTCTCCAAACACAGCCTGGTTTTTCAGGCATGCCCGCATGCAGCTTGGCCGAGAAATTTGCAAGGGCAAACCCAAAAGAAACAAAGCAGCTGCACATAACAACCCATTGAATGCTAAGCCCTAGCCCTCAAAAACACCCAACACTCAAAATGTCCAAGCCGAGGGAAAACCACGATGCGGATCAGGGGGGCCCCTTTGGTTTTGACGCAGGCTCCATGGACCGGGCCTGGACCAAGTTTGGTAGCTCTTGAAGTACCATATACATGTGCACCGTCTCTATGCCCATCCATATAAGGACGTGTGTGTGTGTACATAAATAAACAAATGAAAAATTTATCCAGCAGAACATGTATAAACAGTTAACTAATAACATGCATGAATGCATGAATGCGTGAGTGAATGAGTTAACGAATGGTTGAATAACTTGTAACGAATGAATGAACGGATTGATATACGTACCTGTAGAAATGCATATGTGTGTGCGCGCACGTCTGTGTGTGTGTGCGGTCTGGGCGAGAATGCCACAGAAATCAAAGAGGGTGTTGCAGGGTGAAGGCAGGCTCTACACGAGCATTGTTGTGATGTGATGAAGAGTGTCGAAGGTAAAGTGGTATACGGTGGGGTGCGAGTTCGGCTTGGGAGGTCTGTGGGCTTTGGCCTTGCAAAGGCTTAAAGTGTCGGGTAAGGCTGGGTTTAGGACAAGCTTCGAAAGGCTTAAATACATCGGTCCTCTGTAAAAATAAGAAGCACACACTTCTCAAAGCAAAGGGCTGTTGATCCACAGCATTTTGTCCGACGGGCACCGGGCCTTACAGTGAACTTGGCGTCATCCAGACTCTCACCTGGTTGCGTTTAGGGTTTAGGGTTTAGGGTGATGCCAGGGCACACTGATCTACATCTTCCCACTAGCCGTGGCGTGCTACACAACGACGCACAGGCCGTCTTCACCGAATTTCGGCGAGGCTTCAAGACCGAGGCTGATCGCGGACCGAAGACGCAGATCATGAACCGTAAACCCTAAACAACGCTCTAACCTTTTGTGTGTACTTGTGGGCTTCCTGCTTCTCTTGCCTGGAGCATTTGCCCCCTGCTGGCACTGCTGCTTCGGTCGTGTGCAGAGTCTTTCGGATACCGGCATCCTCCGAAATTTCAGAGTTCAGGGGAAAAAGAAGGAAGTATCGGTCTGCCAGGCGACCACCCCGTCGGCCATCGAAGCATAGCCCAAGCACCTGATTCCTGAATCAAAGTCAAGGAATATAGGCTGGTGTCTCCAAGCGCAAAGCCTGGTAAGCCTTATAACCCTATTAGCATTCGGGCAATGAAGAATACGGGGTCCAATCTTCAGCTAAGGTGCTGTTCAGCCGCTAGATGCATAAACGCAAATTACACCAATGGCCCCTTGACCGTAACATCCCTCAACCCTCAGATCAACTCTGTGAACCCCAAAGCTCGCAGCTGCCCCGATGCGTGGGATCGTGTAGGCACAGATGTCTAAGCTACCAGCCTTCACGGAATGTTGCTGTCTTACAGAGGTTAGGCTTAGGGTCAACAGCTGCATCCTGCTTCTTGCAGGGCTTCGTGCAGGGCTTCGTGGCCGTAATTACGAGGAGAAGTGTCAGGGGTAGAGACAACCTATAGTCTCCATTGTAGTTCCATTTTTTGGCTTAACCATAGATTCAGGATCTTATAAGGTATCCCCAAAACGGAACTACAATGGAGACTATAGGAATCATTTGGCTTAGCTTCTGGTAGGTGCTGCGCTCGAGGAAGAAGACGTAGCCCTCGTACCCTGAGGGCGCATAGGACACGCATTGACGGTGATACCAGGCTTGCAACAATCGTTTGCCGGATGAAAACTGCCGGCTCCAAACGAGGTCGAGCAGAAGAGTGGGCAAGCGGGTCCTTGGTCCTGAAGTGTTGGTTTAGGGTTTAGGGTTCTTTCGTCGGGTAGCCTGAGAAAACGTGAGGTATCAAGCTGCATGTCGCAGGTCTTCAAAATGCTGCACCAGCCTATAAGCCACTTCCTGCTCTGTTCCCTTCTAGCTATCCGTAGAACGAGGAACTCGCGATTTGTTGACATATAACATCATTTACCGACACCACGTGAATAAGCGAACGTGCATGTATGGCTGTACTTGTTTACGACGGTGCCTTCTACTGCGCCACTATGCAGGGGCATGGATGTACCGTTGGCATGAGAGATGCACCCGCAAACGGCTATGCCTGTACATAACCCTACATCCCAGGTACTAACGGCTGCGGCCTACGCCTTAAATCCTGGTTCCTTAGCCATCTAAATCCCTAAACACACGAAAGATCCCACATAAGCATGCAGGCTTTCACCAGAAGGCCTCCAACGCTGGCGAGGGCGACGGTCAGAACAGAAAGAATGGCAGCGAGTACTGACAAACGGCGATCGTCTGACAAACGGCGATCGGCACCATCGGGTGGCATTGTCCGACGATCATGTGCTGGGACTCGTCGCCGTCTATTCTTGCTTTTGCTTCCGCTTGCTCTCTAGTAGACTACAGCTACTATGCCTGGAGGTGCGCGTTTTGAGTCTCGAGATCGCGGCCTACCTCTCGGACTCCTCTCGGTATGACTGGCCGCGAACTTTGTGCTAGCCCAGAAGATCCATCATGCAATCGCAAACTTGGGGGACTTGAGCCTGTCAGTGAGCTGCTCTTAACAAGTAGGAATGCTGCTTATTCCCCTTTCACGCAGCATCGTGGAAGGACTTGAAATCCAGGGCTTCTACTGTAAATTGCTGCAGGTCACCAGGCACCACGTCTATCGAATGTATAATGCAGTCGGGCTCTATAAACAACCGAAAGCCACGGAAATGCCCCCAAAGCACGTTTAGTTCGCGCAGGTGAAGCGGCGAAGTCGATCCTTCTTCTCTCTCCCTCTTGCCTCGTTTCATCTGCTTCGGCAGCTTGAATTCGCTGCTGGAGGGGGTCCACCTTAACCTGGCATTTGCAAGTTTCGGAATCAACCATCCCCCACGACTCCCCAGGCTTCTGCAGCCCCTTGTGGAGACCCAAGCCTCCAGACCCTTTGCATGGCAAGACCCTACAAGTAGAGCATAGAACATGCGGCTCCTGTAGTCACTGTAGTCTCGCCCTCACATCCCAGAGAACACAATGAAATTAAACATGGCATAACATCTCGCAAATACCTTGTCACTTCTTCTCGGTTGGGCACAAGCCCATCGCAATGCCCTAAACAATCGACCCAGGCGATTCCGATAGCCTTTTAAAGTCTCCAACTATACAGGTTTAGGGTTTAGGGTTTATAGGGTTTAGGGTTCAGAACAACAGGTTCTTCCCCTGACCCTTTCACACCTGGACTATGCATATGCCAGGAACCGAGGACTTCCCGTTCCCCTGACCCTGAACCGTAAACCCCACAATGCAAGCCCCCAAAAACACCCAAATGCCCTAAAGCCCCGGGTACAAATCCGGTCAGCCTTCGGCTTTTTTGGGCCCCGGAGGCTATTCTTCGAGACTTGCGACCTCGGCTTTGGCGACTTCGGGTGTTGTGGTCTTCGAACTAGCTTTGAGGGTTCAGGGCTGCGTTTTGGGGGTTGCGGCTGGGGAGAGGGTTTAGGGGTTTTAAGCACTCAGAACTGGGACAAGCCTGGCGAGGTTCCGAGTACGTCGAAAGCACATTGGCTAGGGCTGACACGTGGTTTAGGGTTCGCGATTTAGGGATCCAACCCTAAACCCTAAACCCTAAACCCTAAAGGGTTCCGATTTACAAAATCCGGCACATTGGCTCATAGACTCACGGCTTTCCCGTGGCCCTCTGCGCAGGACCCAAGTCTGAATACAACATCTTCATCCCGTTGACAGGACGGCTTCTGATGCTGTGCATCCAGAAAGTCTTTCAGTCGTGACAACCCGAATATCAAGAGCCCCTAACTCCAAAACCTTTGATCCTGGACACCCTCCGACCGGACTGATAGCCCACAGCAGTGACTTCAGATCACGCTCTGCACAAACATGGTTCAAAGCCCTTAAACCTTGTGAGTCATCTAAAACGCAAACCTGAGCCGTGTACTGGAGTCCTGACCCATTCGTTGAACCGGGGCGGCAACCGTGACATCGGGCTGGCAGCACCCTGCACACACCTTTTTGCAACGGGCCTTCTGTCCCGCGCACGCTGAACCGGAAATCCCGCAACTCCAGAACTCCTATTGAAGTTTTTGCAGCCGGGACCCCGGTCTAGACCCCCACACCCTAGAATCCTACAGCTGAACCCCGGAGCCCTGAACTAAAAACCCGGACCCAAAACCCCAAACCCCAAATCCTCCAATATAGGGGCCTTAATAATTAGAGTAGGGTTTGGGGGTACATAATTTCTGGAATCATACTAAGGAACCCCCAAAATAGTACTGGCAGTTCTTTAAGCACCGATATTACCCCCGAAGCCAAGACTTGGGGGTTTCCGAAAATAGGGGACCCTTTAGGGTTTAGGGATTAGGGTTTAGGGTTTAGGGTTTGGGGTTTAGGGTTTAGGGGAATAAGGACCCCAAAATAAGGTACCCTTATTTTCGGAAACTCCCAATTAAGCACCGATATTACCCCTGAAGCCAAGACTTGGCCCCGGGCTGGAGCTTGTCCTCCGGCGGGAAGATCAGACATCCTAGGAGGCTCACCTTTCGGTTTAGGGTTTAGGGTTTAGGGTTTAGGGTTTAGGGTTTAGGGTTTAGGGTAGGGAACTTTGGGTTGGGGAGTTTGGGGTTTCGGTACACTTCTCGATTTGTGATTTCGGGTTTAGGGGTTGGGGGTTTAAGGGATCAGGGCTTCCAACGCGCCGGAAACTTTAGGTTCAGGTTGAGGCCGGGGGGTGGCTCCGAGGATAAAGTTGGGGTTTAGGTTTAGGGTTTAGAGCTGCGGGAAATGGAGGTGAAGAACACATCAACGTATGGAGAGCTCATGCCATGCCCTGGCTCAGGGCCGACAGGGACAGCAGGCAAAATCCTGAAAATTAACGTGGAACCCGCCCTGACGGACCCTCTCTCCGTGTCTATGTTTGTTGGTCAGACATTAAGGTACGTTAGATTCCCTTTGTGCAACAGCTTGGCAACGTTGGGACATGTTGGGATGTTGGGACTCTGAAAAGGCAGCAGGTGCTTCCCGGGCGGAGTGAGGGCAGCGCAGGACACCGAACAATACAAAGCTGAAGTATACCGTGGTAAATCCAAACCCAACCGTACGAAAGCGCAACAAACGTCTTTCTTCTTGCACCTCCAAGCCCTTCGCCGAGATGTTGAGGTTGCACTGCTTGTCCTGGCTGAACTGAGCTTTACAGACTTTAGAGTATAAGGGCTTACGGTAAAGATTTTTGGGGTCGGGGGGTTGGGGGTTAGGGTTCAGTGGTTTACATGCTGAATCAAAGGGTTTTCCCTCCGGGGGCTGTGGATGGTTTCCACAAGGATAGCGGCTTCACCGGAAAAGTTCTTCAGTTGAGTGTCTTACATGTCTTAAGAACATCCAACACTCGTATGATAGGCTGTAGATGCAAGGACCCCGTAACATTGTGCCTTGCGTAGTAAACCTTCGTTCCACGGGCCCAATGCAAGCTCCCCCCTACATCCGAGGTTGCACCGGCAAACTCCTACAGCACTATTTTAATTGAGCCAATCGGCTTCGAACGGTTGCTTGTGGCCCCAGCAACGACGAACAACCACGAGGGACACTTTCCCAAGTCCCTGTGATTCCTGTGCGTGGTTCAGCCTTGGCATCCACTGTACCCCTGACCCCGAACCATCATGAATGCGCATGTTGTCTGACCGTTCAAGCCGGGTGCTGTGATGCTGTCTAGGCTGCGCAACTAAGGGCTGAAACCCGCACACAAGGCATAGGCTACGAAGCCTTAAGCCTTGAATGGTCCTAGCTGCCCCGCCCTGATCCCACCTGCACCGTACAATCGTGAATGATGTAGCTGCCTCGGCTCGGGTGTCTCGAGAAGGAATAAGAATAAGACGTGCCCGGGCTCCATGTGGCACGCCCGATGCATGCTGCAGTCACTCCAAGTTTGACATGAAGACAACCCTGCTCGAAATCCCGCAGACTGAATGTTCACAACCATCGGGACCTCATGCCGCACCTGTTGCCAGAGGTAACGACACTACCCCTACTCAACAAAACAGCTCCAGCAACCAGCCACCGGCATCCTGCAGGGGCACTTGCAGGCAGAGCAGATCATGCCAGGTGCCCGCGCAAAGCTGAATTTTGGCTTCGTCATCTCCGGGCGGTGCTGGCGCATTCTCCATTCGACGTAAATGGGTTTAGGGTTCACAGGGTTTATGGTTTAGGGTTTAGGGTAGGGATCTAGAGTTGTACAGGGCTTATAATTACTGCAGTCTTAGAAACAACGGTGCTTGTTAAGGTGATTGTTTTCCACTAGGCCAGGCTCTTCAGCACCACGCCAATCTCCCAAGAACACATGACAAACAAGTTACGATGCCGCATAAATGTCAGGACACATGGTGTCCTGAGGAGTCCCGGGAACAGCGCGGTTTTCTGACAGCTAGAAGAAAATCACAAACCGTGGCAAAAAGCCTATAATCGAAGCGTGAAGACGCAACACCAGAATTTCTGCATGGGCCCAAAAATGCAACAACAGAACTTGGTCCTTCAACACCGTTTGATAAACAACCTTGCAGAACTCATGCGAAACCTTACATAGTAAGGAAAGCTACAAATCCATGTTGTCGCTTCAAGGCGCGACCGTCGCGTCCGGGATCGCAGTAATTTACACGGGAATTCCTTCATACTGCGGAATCCGGCAAGATCCTTTAAATAAACCTGGAGGCCCCCAAATCTGGCAGCGCGACCTCCCATGTAGTCCATGGTGCGACTGTGGAAATAGCCCTGTGCCCAAACTTTTCTCGCTTGTGCAATTCAAGGAGCAACAATGCGACAAAGCACACGCCTCTTGAAAAGCAACGGCATCCAATTTTGCTCATAGCTCACGACATGACGGCGCGAAAACTGACAGTCCTCATGGCAAGTTCGGAAACATCCTGGCAACGCTAGTTTGGCATTACCAGATGCAGTCTGCAGCCCCACCACGAAGCATGATATGTGTCTCTGAGTCTCCCCTTCATCCCGGGTTTAAGGCTCTTCGAGTCCCGGGTTTGCCTTGATATCCCGTTCCCGCCTTGTTCTGTCTTGTGCCTGAGCTGGAGGTGCACTGCATAACGACGTGCTTGGGCTGACTTTCCCAAAGATGTCATGGCGATAACCGGTTAACACGACTAATGCAAAGAACGGCGCTATGTACAAAGCACGGTGTTTGCGCTATTGTCTGTACGAGGCGTCCTGTGGAATTGAAATCTAGATCTTTTCTTTATCCCGGCTCGAATGCCGGAATCCGACTCCGAGCCGTACTGCGAAATGCTACCGTCGAAAATGTCTAAACCCTATGAACCCTATAAACCCAAAACCCAAAAGAAGATGTCGCACTTTTGACCCAAGGGCCGGACAAACGAGACCCTCGGTAGGTACGAAGCATTGCCGCACAAAGTCCTCCGTGTCGTAGACTCCTGGCGGCGAAGCAGCGATAGAGTATGGAGCTAGGTCCGTCCAGGGTTTCGTAGGTTTGTGGGATTTACGGTTCAGGTAGCTCCAAGGCTTCCGGTCTAGGGTCGTTTGTTGGTCTTCTTACTGGCCGGTTGGTGGTTGGTGGCCTTCTGTTCAAGGGCATCCGAGCCCAAGCGAGCAAGCCCAGATTCCAATAAACAAAATTCGTCCGACCAGGCCTGGATGATCGAAAGCCTTGGAACAAAAGGGGGCTCAATAGGGTTTAGGGTTTAGGGTTTTTAAAGGGCTTAGGGTTTAGGAATCTTGTTTACAGCGCCCATCTCTTGGACCCTTCGGCCACATTGCGCCACATGACTTTGTTGCAGTCATGTGCTCAACACCCGAGCCCATGGTTCACACCCGAGCCCATGGTTCAGTCAAATGAGGCTTAGATGGCAAACCTAAACTGACCTACACTCTCCGATGCAATTCCTGTTCTGTGAATCCGCTTACTTTAAGTTTCTTTTTTTTTTTTCCACTACAGGGTCCCTACCGGACAAACATGGCCCACAACAGGTTAGGTAGCAAAGAACGACAGTGGAAAGCGTGGGTTACCTATGTCCACCGGTTGTCATACTGCCACCTTGGGCGCCTGCTTTCCGGGGCTTGCCTGTGCCGCAGGAAACGGACTGCATGCAAATGTTTTGGCATGGTCAACTGTCGCAACCGGGCAGGCTGCATGTTTCGATCTTTGCACACATGGACACTCGACTCAGCGACTGGACACGAGAAATCAAATGCGTGCTGGACGCGGCCTGCCAGTATTCCCATAGCTCCGAAGTGTCAGAAGCACGTCGTGTTGGCCATGTGTCCTACTGCACGGTGATCTAGAGTGACCATTTGGATCCTGAGCTGACTAGTTGCATATGCGAACAAACCGCGAGTCGGTGCTGGGGAGCCTATCTGGCTCAGCAATGTTTTCAAGCCAAGCCCCAATCATCCTAAATTCACAGTTCTAGGAGAGGATACGTGCGCAACCTCTGCTTGATTGGAAAGCCTGGCACAGTCACAGGACATGACAATGAGTTGCAACCCTCGGATCGGAAATAACGCTGAAAACCTACCGCCACCAGAGAAGAATAGTGGACGAAAGCCAGCGCAGCACAAACCCCTCCTGCGACGACAATGAAATCCTGAACCTTTTCAGAAGCAAACCCGTCAAAACCTCGCATCCCCCTCCATGCGTGGAAGGTGTAAAGGCCCATACGCAGCCCAGCCCTGCCAAATCCTGCCAAAGTGGCATTTTACACGCAGCCGCGACCGTGCTCGAATTCTGTTGCAGGAATGCGAAAATTTCTTGGCATGCAGAAGCGCATCAGTCCCTGTGAGCCACTGAACAACTTGCATCATGAATCATGGAATGAACCGCTATCCTGCAAATGGGAACACCATCCATGGAACCGCTGCCCCGGCAAAGAAGCACGTATTCAACTGTGATGAAACATGTCGGGTACAGTAATACACTTGTGACCTGGCAACTGCATGAACGATCTCACTTGCCGCGGGGGAGGGCCATGTCTACGAAACACTTGAGACGTCATCGGCTTGAACAACATTTCCACCAAAAGAAAGTTTGAGCAATGCGAGCACTTCAATTACGGAACCTGTTCACAATGAGAACAGCGGACTTACATCACCAGAACATCAATCTCCAGTGAATACATGCATTTCCGGGATGCGTTCTAGCCGATGACACCGACGAAACATTGGCTACCTAGGTGAATACGTGAATACGACAAACATATGTTCTCACGCGGGGGCTGTGACGGATGTCGACCGCCGTTAGACACCTTGCACATAAAGGGTTGAAAGCCGGTGCATTGCGAGAATGTCGACCCAAAAACATCAAACACATTATTTTCGGGATACTCCATTGTTGCTATAACTGGCGTGCATTAGTGCAAGCCTCTTCCAGTTGCCCGGACATTCCTGGGGCAAAGCAGGTTAGCATGTTCAGCACTTTCACCGCAATGATGTGGAATCTGAGCGGCCGGCACGGACTGGAAATGGGCAGTTCGGCTACAGCTTCACCGTTGTCCTCGCAGTTTACACGCCGGCAGTATCTGGCAGTTGAAATTGTATGGACGAGAATTCGCACGGTTCTCGCCGACGTGGTCTGAGTCCCACAACGAAACCACCAAACCAACCAAAAACAACCCCTGCGCTGAAAAAAAACGTATTCGGCGACAGACCTTATCCAGTCGGTGATGTTCCACTTGCAATGGTGGCAACCTGAGTGCAAGTAATCCATCGGTCTTACAGAAAGTGGTATGCGACTGAATTAGAATCACCGCAAGTGCTGAGGCTCAGAACCGCGGGATCTGCTGGAAACGTACCTGCATCCAAAGCTATGCTGCTTTAGCTGTTGGCGCGAGGCAACATCCGAAGCAAATGGGTGAGTGAGAACGGTTGCGGCGTCAAATTGTCAAGTCATCAAGCATCTTCGAGCATCGCAAGCAACGGAGGCGGAGGCACATCTCGAACAAAAGGGGGTGGCAAGCAGGCCCCCGCACATGCCAAGCAAACCTTCATTATGGCAAACGGTTGTCGAGCATGCCTCACTCTTCCGAGCGAGAATGGCGAGAATGTGGATTGGCGATGACATCGATCATCATTCTTCTCCGCAGCTTCCCATCTTAATTGTCACCCTTTTTGCCCTCTTCCACCTTACGTCCGGTCCCACACCGGAGTACCCGCAACCAATGCCCGTGCACGCTGCGTCTCAAACGGCGTTCGAGCCGCTCGCCTGCAGGCGCTCCCAATCAAGCTGCGTTAGCTTGCCATGAACCCTTCAGGAATGCTCGGTGGCAATATTACAGCCCGAGAATAAACACTGACGGCGAGTTTCAAGACGACAAATCATTCCAACATGAGAGACGTGCACGCAAAGCTCCTGGCAAGCGCTGCTCCATAGGCAAACGCGTGTAACGGAAAATCTGTTAAATGAGATATAGCACCGCGAATGACCACAACTGCTTAACCCAACACCATATGTGCTGCCAGTTGAAGCATCGCCATATTCGGTATTGGCACGAGTTTTTTTTTACACGGACTTTTCCGCCTGCAAGAAATCGTCTCAGCTACTTTACGCCTACGGCATCTAGGAGCGGTCCCGGCTTAGGGCCGCAATGGCAGGCGGCTTGGCCCTTCATCTGCGGCGAGGTCAAGCACACGGTCCAGTGCTGGGCCGTCGCCCGGCACGAGTTTTCCGTTCATCTAAGACCCATCCGGCCATTTAAAGCGACGGTTTCCCTTTTTTTTCTTTCGAATCCAACTTGGGGTGAAGCGAGGCGATGTATTGAGCCCAAGTTTATTCAACGAAGGCTTGGCGCACGCATTCCGGAAGTGGATAGCCAAATTGGGATCACAAGATTTCCATGCTGGCCTCCCTGAGTGATTCACCAATATTGACGACATGGTATTGTATGCAAAGATGAACATGATCGCGCCGTTGCCTTGTGTCTCCGAACATGATCGCGCCGTTGCCTTGT